CAGGGACGCTCCGCCGCTGGAAGGAGCGCGGGCCGTCAGCCGCCGCTCCCGCGCCCTCTGGTGGATGCCGCCGTGCTGTCGCGACAGGCGCTGCGCATCCCGTGCCGCTCCAGCCTGGGAAGTGGGTCACGGCTGGCTGGCAGGACAGGCGAACAGAAGCTTAGTTTGGAACATGTGCCATAAGGAAGGAGTTCGGCACTCTTCTTGTCTTAGCAGTGGGATCATGGGTGTGTTCTAGCCTGATTTCCAAAAGCACTGGGAGCGATGTGGCACTGTGCCTTAGCCCTGAGGGATGTACAGCGCCTCTGGGCAGAAGCCTCCTCTAAAGGAGGAACAGACCACTCTGACCGTTAACGTGAACCACCTTTCGGGATCCCACCCTTTCCACCTGCACCCATGCAAGGACCGGTCCCTGAGCAGACAGGAATTTACCCTGGCAAGTCCGTTGCCCCGATAACAGCAGTTACTGCCTCAAGGGAAGAAGCAGACAGCAGGCAGTTGTTCAAACTCAGATATGTACGTTGACTTGAACTAGTTTTTCTCCATTATGCCACGCTACTGCCTGACTGCGTCACTGACATATTTTAGGGACTGTTCTTAGTATTTTTTTTCCCCTATTCAGCTGCCTTCTGATGGAGTTTCCAGGCAGACTGAAGGCAGTGTCACAAACTGCTCAAACTTCTTATTCATTGTTGCCTGTATGTACTGCTGTGAAATTCCTAATAACTTTTCCAAACTTCATTAATCCCTCATGTAAGAACTCTTCAGGTATTAGAAGGCAGTCCTGGTCCTAGTTCCATGTTAACTCAGTCATTTACAAGGCTAATGACACGCTTGTGAAGAAACATACCGTACTTGTGGCTCAGAACTGGACACACTATGCATAGGCCAGGAAGAAGCTTCGGGATGGAAAGGCTTTGAATGAGCTAACTGTCTGAAAAGGGATTTCACGCTGTCTCCCCCCAGGATTGTTCTGGGTTTGTGGGAAGTTTTTTTGTTTGTTTGTTTGGCCTTTTTTTTTTTAAATTATTTTTATTAAAGCAATGGATTCAATAGCAGCAGAAAAACAGCCCACATTTTTTTGTGTATGTGGTTCCTGAACGACCCTGCTACAGAACTGTTTTTTTAATGTCTTCTGTTACACCTTTACATACATAAGGGTTGCGTGTAAAATGTGTTCATGTCAGAAATCTGGGCAGTTTTTGATGCCATGTATGGTTCTGTTGCAGTAGAAATTAAAAATACCTAACAATCTCCCTTTTTCAACTTTAGAACTGTATGAGGAAACATATGATGGTGAAAAAGTAATCTATTGGGAAGTGAAGTACCCTTTTCCGCTCTCCAACAGAGATGTATCCTTTCAAGCTCTTTGTTCCTCTTGCAGTTTTTGTCACCTGGTCAGCCAGGGATCCCAGCGATGTACTGATTCTAGTGCTCTGCCGCGCTTGAGCTAAGAGCTTGCAGTCCTCATGCTGCATGAATATGTATATATATAGCATGAAGAAAGGTGTGGGGGCCTCTTCCCACACACAACTAAAGCTGACATAGCTGAATTATTACTCTGCAGGATTGGATCCTTTAGAAGCATAAGAAATAGCTTGAAGGGACAGGTATTTGTAATGGAATCGACTTGTCAATTAATCATATGGCAAACTGACACTGTTCTGGCATCTCTTCTCAACTTGGAATCCAGTACGTCTATATTCGTGAATGTCGAGAGATGGATGTTGATGGGCGGAAGATCTGGGTTGTGTTAGCTCAAAGCGTGTCTGTTCCTCAGTGCCCAGAAAAGCCTGGTATTACCAGAGTTAAAAGCTATAAACAAAGCCTGGCAATTGAAAGTGATGGCAAGACTGGATCTAAAGGTAAGAGGTCAGGAAAGTGTGATCATGCGTCATGTAGCCAAAGAATGTGTGTTGGCAGGATGCACAGAGAGGGAGACTGGAAATTCTAAGGTAAAACACTTACTGTAAAGTGGATGTATTGAGCACTAGAAGTACTTCAAAACAAATGAAACTTTTGGAAAGGTCCACAGCAATGTGCTACTGTTAAGAATCTTTTATTTGGCAGTTGGGCTGGGTGGATAAGAATAGACTACTGACCACTTCATTCTGCTGCCTCCCATCCATCTGGGAAGAGGCTGATGATAGCTGCAGTCTGGGTAACTCTGTAGTAAGTATCACGTTTGGCAGATTTGTATATTAAAGGGTTTGCTTAGAGACTGACTCCTCTCTGAGATTAGTCCTTTATAAGACAGGCTGCCTAAAATGGTTTGTAGTAGTCTAAATTAATATTATGGGACTCTCAGCTTCCCAGAGGTTAGTTGGGGATGGCTATATTTTCTTCACGTTCCACTTCAGTACAAGTTGACTTTTTTTGTGAAGAACTTAAAGCAGAAGTGTTGTACTTGGTGATTCAGTCATGCACACTGACAGCTTCTGTCATATGGTGTTAGGGCTAATACACTGTGTCTGGATAACTTTCTGGTGACTCCTCTCTTGTCTCTAGTCTATATGTACTATTTCGATAATCCTGGTGGCATGATTCCATCGTGGCTGGTCAATTGGGCTGCCAAGGTAAGTAAAGGTTGACAGAACAATTGTTTTTGGCTAGTTGGTTTCAAACAATGTATTCACTGCATCCATACCTGTCTTCTGCATGTTGGGTGGAATTATTTTATTTCTTACATGGATGTATTGACCTGTCTAGCTCTTAGGCAGTCTCATTTGCAGAAGCCTGCTATTGTCTGCTCTCGTGGCAGTTGTCTTCAATTTATTTATTTTTATTCCTATCAAATTCCTTTGGATAGTCAACTAGGTAGGCAAAATTATGCAACAAACCCAACAAATTCCAGAGCAAATTTGAATAGCCTTAATATAAGCAAGCTTCAGTAATGCAGTCTGTTCATGGAGGGTTAAAGGAATGGTCTGCTGCTTTGTACAGGATTTTAGTGTTCTGTATTTGTTTGAAGGTCTTGATCTGTACAGTGGGGATTCTCATCTTGCTTACTGCTTTTCTTGATTACATTATGCAAGAATGACGTTTCCACTTTTCTCTTCACAGAGTGGTGTGCCTACTTTCTTGAAGGATATGCAAAAAGCTTGCCATAATTATGCTAAGAGCACATAGGTAAAAGTTGATCTGAATCGTTTAATTCCTAGAGCTCTGCACTAACAGGAGTGGCTATTCTGTATTACACTGGATAAAATCTACCTCTGATATTGGAAGTAATTTTATTTTAGTTGGTTTATGCCTTGAATTTGTAGATCTTTGTTTCCATCTCCAACTGAAGAGCTAGTCACTGACAAGGTAACACCAACATCAGCTGCATCCTTTTGAAGGTCTTAAGTTTAGCCTTGTCCCCCAGGCTTTGCTTATGCTGATTATCATGTGTCAGCTAGAGGAGATCTGTTGATTGGAATTTTACATCCTTGGACAAGAAACAATGATCTTGCTAGGAAAAATGTCTGAACTTGGACTGAAAATACTCTACGTGTGTTATGCCTGGATCTGCCTTTGTGGCCTTTCAGGGTGGCATCCTACTGAGATTGAATAATGGAACAAAGAATTAATTTGTCACTCCCCATTGGCAGGCAGGGGGTGAGACCCCTCCACGGAC